TCAAGATGGGCTTGTCCAATGAGGAAGTCCGGAATCTCAAGTGGGAGTTCTGAGATACTGGGGCGTTTTTATGGCCCTTTGTTTGAAAGCATGGTAATTTGCATATGAAACTTGGAATAAAAATTACTAAAGACTCTTAGAACACTAATATGTTGCGTAGGTGTAAACATACAATATACACTCTCAATTAGATCATCCGAATACGAATTCATAGATACTAAACATGGTAAGGTTATCTATATGTAAGCTGACAGGAGTGTGTTTTGATTATAAGCCTGCATAACAGTATACAATTTCAAAGACAAAATACACGATGACAATAATATACCCAATGACCTGAAGGATCATGTGTGTTCATTCAAAGAAAGGTTTTCCTATTAATTAATTAGCAAAGAAAAGTCCTTCCCTTGTGGATTTTCCTTATGGACAAGGAAGCGATTTTCTTCACCTAAATTCCAGGAGGTCGTAAATGTATCGGGTGTCAGCATTGCCATGGAACCAGGGGCCTGTTCGGCTTCCTGGGGTGTTACAGAGTATTTGTTAAATCTAGCTAACAAAATATGTATTGTGTGTTTGAGTGGTCCAGACGCTACAGTACTTATTTATTTATTTTAGGCTATACTATACATTTTTGCAACCAGTTATTGGTGTGATTATTTAGTTGCTAGTTTTTTTAGTTTAAGTTTTTTTTGTGCCATTTACAGGGAGAATATTCTTATTTTTTGTTGTTTTCCAATACATCTTGTCTTGGGAGCACCCTTTGGTTTTACATCTGTAAGTAGTTACCAGTTAAAGTAATTGACCTTTATGATGTTGTAGCAGTTGATATTTAAAGATGTCTCTATGTGTGTGTCTTCCAGTGTGACATTCCCATCATACGGAGATGGTGGACATTTCCTCCAGCACACCATTACATTTGCACCCCCTTCTGACCAATCTGAAATTAACCAAGATACATGTATATTACAGTGCAGACACCCTACAAGAGGCCCTTCCAATTGGATAACAGGCTACGCTTGTGAGATATGTCTCAAATCTATCTATATACACATTAATTAGAAATATTAAAGTGACATTTTCCTCTAATATTCTGTAATGAAGGAGATCCCAGTAATCTCACAGAAGTTGTGAAATGGCTCCATTAAACAGAGATCTGCTCAGGGGCCAGTGGAAGAGCCTCTTTTCCTTATAATGGAGGAAGAGGCCCTCAACAATCTCCTGAAACAGAAGTTTCCAGAGTGCCCTTCATATTTCATCTTGTGCTCAGGGGAGTTATTTTTGCAGGATTGTCGTGACAAAATGGGCCTAAGAGTGAATTGTTAATTTAAAAAAATTCAATTTAATTATTGTGTACATTTTGATTGTTACTTTTAAAATTATGCTGCTGTTTGTGTGTGTGTGCGTGTGTTTTAGTTTTCATATAGAAAAATGTATGATGCACGTGTTCTTGACTTTGGAGTAAACTTTTATTTTGAATCTTGTGATTAAAGTATATTTCATATAAAATGCCCAGAAGTTTCAAACATTATTTTTAATATCACAAACAGGAAATTACTCGCATAATACAATGAAACGAATAACTGTATAGGTCTACAACTAAATTACACAAGATTAATGTTTATAAAATGCTTAATATGTTATTATAAAATGCATACATACATAAAGTATGACGTATCGTGTGTAATAAAAGCAAATTATCCCTTAAAACCCTAAGGTGGCGCTACTCTGTTAAAAAAAAAGTAAGCTCCGCCCCTCACTTCCGGTTCTGTGGCTGTGGTTCTGAAACTGCTGGTGCTGCGGGTCTGCAGCTGGATACTATTGTGCTCATTGCTCCTTCAGCTGGTGACGCCCGCCTAGCTCACCTATGCCTAGAAACGGCCCTGCACACACACACACACACACACACACACACACACAC